AGGTGGTGCTTGTGGGGGTGCTTGTGTGTGTGGTGATTGTGCTTGTGATGTTGTGTGGTGGTGGTGAGATATGGTGTTATATCTGGCTTTGTTGACACTTGCTCTGGCCTCCTGGTGACAAGTTGTTTATAGCAGCGGGAGAAAGTGTTTTGACTGATCCCTGGTACCGCCTATCCCGCGCATGAGACTTTTCATTGAATTGTGTGGTTCAGTTCAGGTCACTGTATAGAATAGATATTGATTCCCCATAAAACATTTACAAGATGATAACAAAGTTAATCCCTGGCATTAGGATCCTTGAGTATAAAGACAGATTAAGAAAACCGAATTCACATTTTCCCGGGAGATGTAGAGTGTGTAAAATCTAAATGGAAGATAGAGTTGTCCGGTCTTTTCGAACTATTCCTTGACGCTGGGTCATGCAGCTCGTTAACTTAGGGTGTGATTGTTGTGTTGGTGACAGCTTGTACACCTTAAACAAATTCACGCCTAAGTGCCCCTTGAGCTGGCCAGCCTTGAACAAGAGGGGCAACCATTATTATGTGCACTGCTAATGTATGTGTGTAGGTAGAGTATTAGTGGAAGCATGTGTTCACTATAACGCAGGTAGCCACAGGTGTATCAAGCAGGTGAAGTAGATGACGTGTATAAACAATGTAAACGAAGACTTGACGTCACTGGTCCTGTGTGTGACTCCTACACCAGCTCGCTACACCATTAACCTGTGTACTGTGTTGGTCATTTATAGTACGAATGTGTGGGTGGGAGAGGGGCGGTGGTGTAGGTGTATGAGTGGATGTTGTAGTAGTGTGTGTGTATATATGTGGGTGTGTATGTGTGTACATACCCTATCAGGTAACCGAGTCACCTTGCATGACCTAACCCTTGTCTTAACTCTCGTAACTACACTTTCATAGGGCCACATACTTGACCTACATACCTATTGCATAATGGGGGTGGGGGAGGGACCAATTATATCCCAATTCACGTTCCTTTCCTCCCATCAATGATTAATGATGACCTATTAGGGAATTCCTGTGTGTGTGTGTTTCTTTGTTACCCTGTCTGTCTGTCTGTTTGTATCTATTTGTCTGTCTGTCTTAGAATGTCTGTATATATGTGTATGTCTGTCTCTCTCACTGTCATGTAACCTTTCCTTGACATCGCGAATAAAGTTTTAACCTACAGGACGATCTAGACACATCAGGCTTGACACTCACGTTCATAATACACCTTAAGAATACAGCCTTGTGACCTTGTTCGTCCTGGAGGGAGAAAATGACGTTGCCGCGCCCCAACCACTGCAGTACTTCCAAGAGTCCGTGAAGGGGAGGGGGGGGGGCTAGTCTCTGATACCCGTACGATAATTCTGCCTCTTTAACTGTCATAGATAAGACAACACACCTTGTTACGGGTGTCTCTCTGTGCATTTTCGACGTCAGAAGTCAGCTTTGTGCGTGAGCCTTAAATGAGTCAGTTATATGTGCGTTCTGGGGTTAAATTTAACTATGATATTCCGGCCCCGTCAGACTGCCTTTACCCTCACCGATCACAAGTCCGTTTCAGAAATTTTCACTCGGTTTTAATGAATAATTTCTTTAGTGTTCGTCAGTAACCAAAATGTAAGTATTTAATCTTGTCACCAGGCCTTAAAGTGGCGCAGTTTGGGCATCAAAGGAAAGACTACTCATTATACATTGTTTGTTTACATGTAGTGTTTAAAGATCGTAAGGGTAAACAAAGATCAGCTGATACCGTCGGCGGGGATCATAAAGGTACGGGAGGAGCCCAGCCGAGTTCAGTGTGTTTGGAGCTGCCAGGGAGGGTGGAAGTCCAACAGTCCGTCCCGGGTCCCTCCGTCTGTGGGTGACGTCACTTGACAACAAACGTTTATATTAGCCAATCACCAACGCGTTCATAATTTTTTTATCGTGACTCATAAGTGTTTTATGTTTATCATTAGGTGTCTTAATCTGTAATGAAACTGGAGTGATACGCGTGGTGACTTGCCGAGGAAATTGGTGTTAAAGCTGAACGTTAAGATATGATGCCTCAGTCGTGTTGATGACCATTTTAGGCTATGAATGATTTACATAAAGTTAAGTCTGTTAAAATGTTTCAATATATTTACAAACTTTTTTTATACACGTGTACATTTTATTTTCATATATTGTTAAATAAGTTACCGGCCTGAGACTTCCCTACTGGTAAGATTTCCTTTAGTGCAAATAAACATGATCACCTGAAGATTGAACACCCTAAATCTACTTGGTGGTAAATGTAACACACTGTACTTAACAGGCTTCGTGGCGCGTGTAGGTCAGATGGGCCCTTGACGTAGTGACCACCAGGGCCCTTGTTCTGATAGACCCCATTAATTGTCATTATAAAGAACCAGGCCTAGTGGGCCCCATTACCTTATAGTATGAGGGACTGGTTCCCCATTAGGACTGATGTTCCATTAGGTAATAGAGACCTATGGGGCGGTGGCTCATTAAAATATGAATTAATAGGACTGGTTACTATTAGAACTGGGCCTATTATGACTGGGGTCCCTTTCTAGCAGCTAGTTTGGGAAGATGATTGTGTGTGGCTCGTCATTGTGTTGCTGCTGAAGAAGCCCTTTTGGTGTTGACTACTCCGCCTTCCTCACTTCCCCCCCCCTCATTCCTTCCTTCCTTCCTTCACTTCCTCTCTCACTCATGTACTCACTCCTTCCTTCACTCACTCCTTCATTTACTCCCTCCCCCTTCACGTATGGATAGGAAGGTGGTTAGGAGAGAGAGAAGGGAGAATTAACCAGACCTATTTTATCAGATCAAGTATAAAAAAAATCTTTCACGTAACATTGACTTTATCACAACACCCCCCTTAATAAAATAAAATGAAGGTGGATTTGGACTGTGACTCTACAGGAACACTGATGGATAGACGAATTTGAATGGTGACGTAACGGAATAGATAGTGACGTAATGTGATAGTGACGTTATATGGTTGGATGATGCTGTCAAGTAAGGGGTGACTGAACTAGGCAAACATTGTCAGGTGATGGAACATGGCGGACTAATACGACAAGATGTTTATAATTATTTCTTATCCCCTGCCAATGTCCGCTTGTTTGTCCGTCCGCACTTCCGTCAGTATCTCCGTTTGTCTGTTTGCGTTGTTCACGTATAACCTGGCAACTGTTCCATATATTTTAATGAGGTTTTGTATACATAACAACATAGAGGAGAGGAAGTGCCTTAGGCTGACTAGGATACAGTGACGTGTATTTATTTTTGTTTATAAGTTATTGTATCGTATTGGCGTGTAGAGGAAGGAAAGTCATTGGGGCGTATTGTATGTTGATCTCTCTCTCGCTCTGTACACTTGATAGTTCCATTGTCTTCACCTATTCTGAGAGTGTTGATGTATTCGCAAATGTCAAAGTGAAGGTGTGTGTGTGTGTGTGTGTGTTCACGGTACATGTACAGAATAGCGGCAGTAGATATGACACTACCGGCAGTGCCACTAGCAAAATTATTATATGAATTTGGTAGGTGTAGTAATAATAGAAACAATAGTAGTAATATTAGCAGTTATTAGAAGTAGTACTAGTAGCAGCAGTAGTCACAGTAGCATCACGGCTGAGGATAGCAGTAGGGGGCGGCGCCAGACAGCGTGCAGTATTTTAAAGCTGCACAACCTGCTGTGTCTCGCTGTCGCTGTCTCCGCCGGCAGTAGCTGTGTGGGTCCTGGTGCTGCCCCGGCCTGGGTGAGAGGGGAGGGAGGGAAGAAAGGAGTGTTTTTAAGGAAGGGAGAGAAGTTAAGGAACAACTGTGAGAAGGAGAAAGGAAGGGAATTGATAATGAGAGGGGGGGCGAGAGTACATGAGAGAGAGAGAATATATTGACCTACCTATCTTCATTTTTCCAAGTTCCTTCAAATCATTCCAGCGATCAATATAAACGTCCATAACAGCCAATCACATACGAGAGTTCCAGTAACAAGGTAATGATGACTTGTTAAATGGGCCCCAATCTTACATAATAGAATATGATTGGGGCCTATTAGGACTGGGCCCATTTGACTTGGTAATTGAGATATTTTGGGACTTAAGCGCTTTCCATCTGTCCGTCCGTCCGTCCATCTGCGGGCTGTCCACATAATAAGTTGAATAAATAGTGATGGATTTTAACTAAACTCGGTGTGTGATAACAAGGTCTCAGAGGAGTTCAGTAATCAGTGTTTTGTGTCATTATTGTACAGAGTTATGGCACCTTGGACGATGTTGTGGCGCAGTGGAGGATAATGAGTAGCTTGTGCCATTGTTGAACTGAGTTATGACCTCTTGGATTTTGCATGATTTGATAATTTGTTTTAAAAATGATTAAATTAATAATAATAATGATGATGATAATAATAATAGTTTAGCTATTCTTATTACCAACCTTACCATATATATCTTTATTTCACTAATATATTGACTACCACAGAGGTATTAATTGCACATTCCCACCGATTGATAATTCACGTTTTTCATTATTCCTGATATTAGTTAGAATAAAGTGATACTTAATATAAATAATAAAGGTGTTTAGTTAATGTGATATTAATAGGTAATATGTATTGAGGATATTATGTCGATCACCTGTACAGATGTTACTGTATTTTTTGTAATATATGTAAAATGTATACAATAGGATACAGTCTAATGTATGGGTATGTTACAGATGCAGTGTAATATTGTCCAACCTGACTAATTCTCATTACATGATAGATTACTGTATAATACATACAGTATAAAACAACAAGACTGTCTAAATTATGTGTTTACAACGTGTAATATTCAGGGTAATACACCTGCTGTATCCTGTATAATACAAGGTACACTCCCTTCCTTGTTATATGTATAATCTCTTGTACTCATATTCCATCAGTATACATGTATTATTTATTTGATGTAACACAGCAGCATACATGTGTCCTGTATCTAACCCATGTAACACATACAATAGGACGTTGAGGATGGCAGACGTGTTGGTGTGAGGTGCAGGAACTGTGATACACCCAAGTGACCTTAACACAAGACCTCAAGACACATGTAGCCTTAGTTATACACCTGAATTTATTAAATACACCTGTTGTGATACACACCTGTGATAATGGATGACCTCATCCATCAACTGCGAGACCACAATGAGTTCTGGAGGCAACCTGGAGGTGATGGAAGTGGAGGCCGTGTTGTGGTCGCTCCAGTTTACCATCAACTGGAGGAGCCAACACCAGCCTTTTTCGACGGGGCGTCGGGAGACGAGGTAATGGCGTAGCTAAAGTGCAAGTAATGTTGTGGACGCACTCTGCTGCTCACTCTACTGCACAGCACCACCGCACTTTTATCTGTCTGTCGGCACTTAAGTGTTGCCTCTCTCTCTCTCTTTCTCTCTTCTCAGTTTCTTTAGATGTGGTTAAGGTGGATTCTCTCCAGGCCACAGTGCCAGGCGTCGTCCGGCCCACACAGACAGATGTACACATATAGTACATGAAACACCTCAAAGGCAGCACAAAATAATCCCTCTGTTTCACGGCTTGGGGGACCACCATTCACCTGTCTCTCCACACCTCATCTTCGAGGCATTATGGAACTTGAAGCCCCGGCTGCTGGAGTCAGTATGGGGCGCTCGTGGCCTTACAGATGACGACAATCTTACTTAGTTTGTGTCGTCTTCAACCCCCCTGGCGAGGTAACTATTGCCAGTAAGACAGTTTACCAGCAGCACCCTGCAGCAACCACAAGTGCTCACAGCTGTGGCTGGCTGTCCTAAACACACCAAGCGTCCCACAAGCTAGAGAAAACAAAAATGGCCTTAAAAAATATAAAACTCCTGACTACTGTTTCTTGTGCTGATCTTCTCTGCTTCAGTCGCATGACATGTTTACCTGTGGTGTGTCGGTCCTGGACCCATGAACGTGTACACATGATAATTAGTTCTATTTGTTTTCCATCAACCAGAGTCCAAATTCATGTACAGTATACAAGAGCTATAAACACCTGACATAAAGACTTGTATGCATATGCCTTGGAGAACATCCGATAATTTACTACTAAGATGCATTAAAAAAACTCCCAAATTGAGTAAAGAAAAAAAATCCTGCCCATATGAGACCTTCACCCCAGGGACTCACTTTTTATATACAGTACGTCCCAAAATCCCAATACCATGTCACTCTAGACTTCAGAGACTTATAAACACGAATCTCTTAAAATCAGACTCGAGCATGTGTACAAGTATCCAGGCCGTGTTTGAGGGTCGAGGACTTGGTAAAATAACCACGGTCCATGTTATGAGACTACACACCAGACTGTACATCTTCGCACCTGCCTTAGCACAGCTGTTACTGTTGTTGTTTTATCTTGCACCTGTATAGCACCATTATAGCTTGTTCTGCACATCTTTGTAAATGCACATCCTGTATTCAGCACATCACTGTTACTTTATAGCATTTAATAGCTGTCGCACATCATGTAAAAGTTCACCATTAATGTAGTTCACTTCATATTAGTCTCACATTAGCTGGGTAAGTGAATTACCAATTTAAACTCGTGTAGCCATAAATGTCTTTTTAAAACTGTATCACACACTCAAAAACTTCTTGTTAAAATGCATCACACAATACAAACACGAGGTACCGTACTTTAGTTAGTGATATGGTTTCGTTTCAGTAACTCAAAGCAACACAAACACGAGTTAAGTTCAGGGTTATGGGTCGTATGAGCACCTCTGGCCACACCTGAGAGAGAGAGTATCACTGTGTGTGTGGAGGAAGTCTTTTAGGTAATAGTAAATGTTGCTGTGAGCTGTTAAATGAAGCCATATTCTAGTGTACCATGCACCGTACATAAGCCAATTGGCCTCCTTCACTAGCACCTCTGCACCTATAGTACCATACTGTACCTCACAAGTCTCCGAGCACCATGATTTAGTATTGTACTGTATGTTGAGATAGTACCGTCTGAATATTAATTACAATCTTTTATTTATGTGATAAGGAATTTGTATATATGTTTAGGGTTAGTAAGATATGATTAAATATATACCACTATGTCCAGAAATAAAGTGTACTGTAATTTGAATGTATGTATAGTATATACCATATGACATACAGTACATGCATACAGGGTACATACATACATGTTCTGATAGATTAAATATTCATATATCTGAAAAAATACGCTTAATCGACCACCTAACCAGTGCCGGATTTAGACCTGTGGAGGCCCATGGACAGCCTCTTTCTGGAGGCCCCCCTCATTATAACTACCCAAGAGGGTGGGGTGGCGAGTGAAGCGAGTCTAAACGTCTGGGAGTTCCGGGGGGCGCTGTAAGCCCCCCGGGAAAATTTTGAAATTTGAACACTTCTTTGGAGAATTTTGAAGCCATACGCAGTTATAGTGAGGAAATTAGAACATATTGTAATATGTGGAGGCCCCCAGATTGTGGAGGCCCCTGGGCAGCTGCCCACTTTGCCCACTCCTGAATCCGGCCCTGCACTTAACTCAGAACATGATTTCAACACCACACACCCCACAGACTACCGCCAGCTAACACACTCCACCTCCCACAGAACATGTCGATCTTGGTGTCGTCGTTAACCATAGCGACGCAGATGGCGTTGTCACACGTCATTCGCGGCCGCCTGAGCGAGATGCTGCAGAACGAGATGCTGAAGGGATGTCTGCTGGAGCTGGTGGCCGCTGCTGAGATGTGTGGTACCTGCTACGAGCTGGTGATCGGTGAGTGGTGAGGGAGAGAGGTAGAGGGTGAGTGGTGAGGGAGAGGTGGAGGGTGAGTGGTGAGGGAGAGAGGTGGAGGGTGAGTGGTGAGGGAGAGAGGTGGAGGGTGAGTGGTGAGGGAGAGAGGGAGAGGTGGAGCAAAATGAGAATGGATGAGTAATGAGGGAGGGGTAGGCTGCGGTGATGGAGTGAATAATGAGCAAAGGTGAGCGGTGAGTACTGAGGTAGGAGAAGGAAGTGTGGGAGGCATGTTAAGGGAAAGTGAGGAAGGACTAAGCATGTAGACATTCGGAGGAGCTGGAAAAGTCTTGTAAAATGTGATGGAGGTTTGTATGAACGACTATACTCTTGTAGAAGCTGTTAAAGTCGTTTGGAAATTATTTATGGCTTGTCAAGAATCTGGGTTCAGAATTTAAAAATTCGAGTAATTAGTGTTAATTAATGAGCCTTAAAAAAATTAAAGACCTATACTATATATAAAACGTCAATTACGTTATGCCCATAGGTGTCAAATCACCTTTAATGAGGATCCCTTAAGTACCGTAATACCTTTGTAAGAAATGTGATCATAATCCATGGTATGACCCCAAGTGCCGACTGCTGGTGTTTATGGCTGGTCTCTCAGCCTCTGATTCTAATGTGTCCATATCATGTTTTATACTGGTCAAGGGGAGCCAAGTTGCCACTGCCCATCTCTCTCCAACTGTATGAATTACTTAAAAGTTTCAACTGTAAAAGTACAATAGTTTTGTGTTTTTTCCAGGCATTAAGATGAACTTGGTTTTTACTTAGTTTTACGTTTAAGCATGTAGGGTGGGTCTGGAAGACTGATCAAAGCTTGTGTCTTTCAAATGTGGTCTTATCACATTGAATTTTTGAAATGGAAAAGAGTATAAAAGATTGCTAAATAATTCTAACTATAATGTTTATGATTAATGGCATATTAAACATTTATAAAATCGGCGACAAATACTTAAAACAAAACAAAATTGATTTTTTTAAACAATGATTTTTGGCTTAAAATGGTTGTTGTCAACCTTGTCATTTATATAATTTTTTTCAGTAATATATAAAGCAATGATGGCTTGTAGAAAGTGAGGGAGGCCTGTAGAAAGTGAGAGAGGTTTGTAGAAAGTGAGAGAGGTTTGTAGAAAGTGAGAGAGGTTTGTAGAAAGTGGGGGAGGCTTGTAGAAAGTGAGAGAGGTTTGTAGAAAGTGGGGGAGGCTTGTAGAAAGTGAGAGAGGTTTGTAGAAAGTGGGGGAAGCTTGTAGAAAGTGAGAGAGGTTTGTAGAAAGTGAGAGAGGTTTGTAGAAAGTGGGGGAGGCTTGTAGAAAGTGGGGGAGGCTTGTAGAAAGTGGGGGAGGCTTGTAGAAAGTGAGAGAGGTTTGTAGAAAGTGGGGGAGGTTTGTAGAAAGTGGGGGAGGCTTGTAGAAAGTGAGAGAGGTTTGTAGAAAGTGGGGGAGGTTTGTAGAAAGTGGGGGAGGCTTCTAGAAAGAGAGTAGACAAATAAAATTCAAAACAAAGTAACAAATGGCTAAGCTGATAAGTGATGAAATGATAAATCTGTTGTACTGTAGAGTGAGAAAATATACAGTCTAATATTACTCCTCGTAACAGTGGCTGACAACTACGGAGTTTACACCTATGCTGTCTACCTGTTCTTAATGACCATCTGGTGGGGACAGTCGTGGGGTACAGCCACTGCCTGCCCCTACAGCCTGCTGGAGGAGTACGTGGAGGTGGGTGCTCATCCTCTCGAAGTGGTGCTCAAGATTATCTGCCAAGTTATAGGTGGTCTGGCATCATTCAGGTGAGTACAGGTGTTGATGTCCATCTCTGAAGTGTTGAGTCATGTAAAGTGTTTTGAGTCTTTGTAGTGGTTAACGATTTTGTGTGTGTGTGTGTGTGTGTGTGTGTGTGTGTGTGTGTGTGTGTGTGTGTGTGTGTGTGTGTGTGTGT